AAACTTTTAAATAGCCCTTTCTTTAAAGAAAATTATATATTTTATATAAACTACTAACTAAGCTAATTATATAGTTATTTAAAGATATATTTATTTTTCTAGCTATATATAACCTATATATAACTTTTACTACCTAAAATCTTATTAGACTAATATCTTAGTGTTTTGTGTATATCTCAGGGTTTTGTGCCTAACTAAGCTTGCTTAGTTGGCCCCCCTTACGGCTCGAGCCAACGGGTAGTTGTTTTCGATTGAAGTTGAAGTCTTGACCGTTCTTCTTGATATCTACCTAATGGCAGACAATCCCGGGTAGCTGCAGTTCGGCGAAGATCGTTGTCGCTATTGAGAAAGCACTTTTGCGGTTGGCACAACACCCGATTATGCAAGCTCAGCTGAATGTGGTGATCAGCGGCAGTCTAGCCAGACAAGTTAAAGGTCTACGGGTTCGTGCATCGATAATTCGACAATGGAGCTGGATATCCTTGTTCATCGCAATTTACAGCTCTTGAGCTACAGTAGTTCGGGATTCTAGGGCCGTCGATTATTATGCTACGAGGTCTGAGAGTTTGAACAACGAAGCCACCCTGGAGCATACCCAATTGGGCAATTTACTACATTTCCAGGTGTTAGACTACGCTCTAATCACCAATTGGCTCTGTTGCGACAATTTACGAGAGTGACCCGAGTCCCATATGAGGTCTTATCTACCTTAGCCAGGGTTCTTTGCGATTGGGCTGCTGGAAATGAAAAGGGCTCAGGAAGGGCTGGTGACCTCCAAGACTCTGCCAAATTGGAGATGGCGAGACATTACGACGTCGCAGGGAGGCCAGCCACAATATGCGAGCTGAACTGCAAGTTAGACAGTGGCTGGTGTCAAGATTATGAGATGCTTCGATCGGAGCGATGTTCCGGCCTTCTGAGGTGCCGATATTTGTCGCACTTTGTTTTTAAGCATGCATCTCCATAAGACTGACAGTTTTTAACCATGACGATGATCAGACGACAGTTAATCAGGAATGAAACATGAAACATAATTCTGGCAAGAATTGAATTAAATGAAGCGACAACCAAGATCGTCACAATGACGAGACGGAAAACGTGGCATTGAGATGAAGATGAAACTCGCGAGGCGGAGGGATGGATGTTGGTCAATACCCAATATCGAGCAAGGCTCAAAAGTCAAGGCCCAGGCTGGTCTGTCCAGCTCGACAGGGCCTTGACCCATTCGCTGGGGTAGAAGCTTGGGCCACGAGAGAAACACAAGAAACAGACGATGATGCGATGGATGACATCAAGAGCCCGCCAATTGAGCTGACCCCCTGTTCTCTTGGTTCGCTTGGTGTGTGGCTTGAGTGGCTTGGCCCGTTGAGTGGCTACCTTAGTCTGGGCACAGTTCACCAGAGCCAGCTGAGCAGGGAATCGAGCATCACAGACAGCACAGGGTTTGTGGTGAAAGTTCTCGATGGGTACAGAGTGGGACGAGTTGAAGTGGATGAGTTGGTTCAAGTGGAGCAAGCATCATCGAAAGATCAGGCTTGAGGAGAACGATGCTGTAGATGATATTAAGCGAAAACATGACGACAAGACAGAACCCAATGCGAAATTGATACAGGGATGGCTGTGATTGCACGGACAAATGATGATCAACTAATAGAAAGTCAGGTGTGAGTGAGGCCTAATAAATTACACTTGTCTGTTCCTGAGACATGTACACACCATTACCATTGACACCGTCTCTTCTGATTCAGGAATCGAGAAGAAAGTTCCCAGAGGACAAGAAAAAAAAAAAAAAGAACATGATTCCGCTCCCCGGTTGCCAGGGAGTCAAAAGTTGGCTAACACCTCAGCTTGTTTTTGTGTGGTTGCCAAGGATGGATTAGTACAGGGGTAACTGGCCAATCGGGGAGAGCATTGGCGCCACTGGCCAACGACGACGAAACTTCACTCTCGATAATTGGAGATGCGATATCACACGTACTATGAGCTACTGCTATGGGTGGTCGTTGGAAGATGGAAATCCGGGATAGTGTTTAGATGAAACCGTGGTACTTGAATGTGATTGCCTGGCAGAGATGACGGTTGCTGTGGCAGGAGCATAACACAACATCAATTGCACTGAACTGAGGTGGGCAAGCACCTTCCATAGCCCAGGGTACTGATTGTTGGCAATCGTCATACCCGTTTTCCTTCCTTCATGCTCCTGTGGCCGTTATCCGGCTCGGCATACGAGTTCCTTCCTTCCTGCTTGCCTCAATCAATTCATTTGGTTAGGTAGGTATTCACGGTGACCCAAGAAGCGTTCCGTCATAGACGAGAGCTGATCCAGTTTTCTAGTCTGGTGTGATCAAGTCAAGTTTGCATTTTTGGCCTCCACAGACTGTATTGGTGGTAGGACCGATATCCGAAAGTTTGGCTAGCATAGAAGCACAGAAACTACCACGTACGCGCTATTGGCAAACCAAACGAGGACATCGAGTTTTGAACATCAAATTTGTTCTTGCATCAGCTCCCGTCCGGCTTCAAAGCCCCAGGCGCCGTGTTGTGGGTGCCGATGCGGGTGGTTGGCGATCTAGCGTGGCAGCCCGTCCAGCTACCACCCACCTTGACCTCTTTTTTCCATCTCATATGCTGCAGCTTCCCTGATACAATCCGTAGTTGCTGATGAAACCAAAACTTTTACTGGGTAGCTTGCTTTTGTCGATTTCTTTACCCCGCTGCAGATGCCATAACATCAAAGTCAATGTGCCCCCGGGGCGAGAATACAAGAATATTGGCTGTAAGAACTTTAACTGTGAGACCCTCGCAGTCACTTAGACCAGCGTCACTGACGTGGACAAGTTTGCTGTAAAAGCCGCTCCCCGCTATGACAGGGGTAACCCATCTCGTCTACAGCTCATGCTCTGACCTCATTGTGTATCTCCATTTACGGCATTGACGTCTGCATTGGATACCCAATGTTCGATTGCATTGACTCAATTATCATGGCGGAGCAAAATCATAAATGAGTAATTGCTTGGCTCATCGTAACATCTTCTGTCGTTGATAAAACACCCCCGTAAAACAACATCATAGTCAACATGGGGGGGCCTCCAAGTGCCTGGCTGGCCCTGTCCGTCTGTGCTGAAGTCTGTGTCTTTGACGGTCCGGCCCAGTGGAGTGGACTTTCTAGCTTCCCCGCCAGCAACTGAGCCTTGACTGGACTGGGTCGTATTAGCGTTGGCCTCTCCCGTGCCATCGGTGGTCTCCCTGCAGGCGGTATCCAAGCCAAGCAGCAAGGTACTGACCCAGGTGCAGATTTACGCTTTAATCTGTGATGGCAGTTTCCTCCCACTCTAAGAGGACGTACGTAGTGACAAGGCAAGATCAAGCCCGTGCCGTGCTTGCCCTGCTAGACCGCCAATGCCAAGCTGGGAAACACACCGTTTAGGCAGGGTACCCTGCCCGCACTTGCCTTACCAGCCGGCAAGCACTGCTCGCTCCTGCAAAGCAAGCAACCGTCACGCCAAGATCAAGATTCTGGCTCCCGCCCACCCACCACCTACTCCTGCCTTTAAAGCTACAGCTTCCTCCTCGCCCTTCCTCTTGTTCCACATCAATATCAGCCTTGAGAATTTTTCATTCCAACATCTCAAACATCCTCTCTCCAACAACTCAATCGAGTTTATCTCCCAACCTCCAGCCCCCAGGCCAGTCTCACTTCGTCTCACGCTTACACGAGATCGATCACCTTCGTTTGTGCCCTAGTCACATATCAATTACCATCAAGGTAAGTTACTATCTCCTTGTTATTACTCCAGCTACACTGTCCATCCTTGCCGGCGCACTTTTTGCTCGCCCAACAAGTTTGCCTCATTTCAGCTTGGTGATTGTGTGATTTGACACCGGAACGCGAGCACTGAATATCACATTACGAGGGGCAGAGAGCTACACACTTCTTGTTCTCGGCTCTTCCATACCTCTGTGATACACGTTCCCTTGCTTTGTCTCACACAAACATCACTCGCGTGCCTCAGGAGTAGGCCACCGCTACTCGCACTTCATTTATTCACGGGTCGCCTCTTCTCCTGCTGGCCGTGATTCACTGCCTAACTTCCCCTCGTTTACATCGCTCGCCTAATACGCTCGCAACACCCACCTTCGTTCACCATCGCCTTCTTACTGTCGCTACCAACTTCATAAGAAACCTCAACTAATCCCCCAATTTGATAACAGATCCTCGATCAAGCAAAATCATCAAGATGAAGTCTTCTTTCCTCACCATCTTCGGCCTGGCTGCTGCCGCCGTTGCCCAGAGCTCTGATGATCTCCCCCAGTGTGGTGTAAGTCTAAATCCAAGCAGTGTACAGTTAGGGCACCTCTGACCAAGAACAGCGTACTTGCGCCGGCAACATGGTCAGTGCCGAGAAGTCTCAGGAGCTTGGATGTGACGCCGGCGATATTGGCTGCCTGTGCACCAACCAGGACTTCATCTACGGTCTCCGTGACTGCTCTGCTGCTATCTGCAACAGTGAGCAGGCCGCCCAGGTCCTGAACTACGGTCTTGAGATTTGCCGCCGTAAGTTTTCCCAATCCCAAAGAGAATCAAGATATCTAACCTTCCACAGGAGCTGGCGTTCAGATCACTACTGGTGCTTCTGGCGAGGTTTCGGCCACGGCTACTGGCTCTGGCGCCGTTCGAACCGTCCTTAGCACCATTACCTCTGGCGATTCTACCGTCACCTCTGCCCTCTCCACCATCAGCGGTACTGCTACTGGCGCTTCCGACGATGTTTCCGTGAGCACATACACCAGCGTCCTCACCAACTCCGATGGAGATGAGTTCACCACCACCGGTAAGGCTATCCTCGGCGGTGCAGTTGTCACCACTTTCACCTCTGGTGGTTCTACCATCGTCTCTACCATTGCCTCTGAGGCCGAGACCGAGACCGAGACCTCTGGCGCTGAGTCCGCTGAGGTTACCACCTTCACCTCCGATGGTACTGAGATCGTTCGTACTCTCGTCACCGAGACTGCCTCCACCGACTCTGCCGCATCCGCCAAGGTCACCACATTCACCACTGATGGCACTGAGGTCGTTCGAACCCTTACCACCGTTACCAGCGGTTCTGAGTCCGAGTCGGTTTCGGAGACGGTTACTGACGCCTCCACCGCCACCGAGGGTGCTACTGATGCTACTGGTACTGATGCTTCGGCTACCGCCTCCAGCACTGACAATGCTGTAAGTTGATACACTCCTACGTTCTATTGGAAATCTCTAACTTTCATTCAGGCCGCTGCTCAGATGACTGGTGCCCCTGTTGGTGTCATCGCTGCCGCTGGTATTGCCATGCTCCTCCTTTAAATCAGGGGGGATGAAAATTTGATGTTTGATGCTTTTACGTTGCACATGTTTGATACATAATTCACGCCTGTACCTCGATCTTTTGGGACCCTTAGCATATTTCCTCGGTGCAAGGAGTCGGTTTGCGGAGGAAAATTTTCACATAATGGTGAATGGTATGAATGGACATTCGGGTCAGGTTTTTCGAGGGCTTAATGATGCATACGGCTTATCTCTCCTTTAATGGAAATGACGCGAAATGTTAGAATGGATGGGCTTTTGATACTGTTTGTGACAGATGAGAGGGGCGGTGGCGTGGGAGATGACGACGGGAAGCGGCAGACTTGTGCTGCCGTGACACAAGCTCAGACTGTACATGCCGTCTCTCATGGTTACATGGGTTCTGGGATGGTGGTGATACCCGGCCTACGGCCTGACTTCGGCGGTGGACTTTACTTCTCACATTCATTGAGAAATAGTAATAGATAATCTTCTTCAAAAACGCGTGCAATTCGTATCCAGTGTCACTTGATGTATTACCATGACATGAAGGTGTTGAAACCAGACAGGGTGAATTGCCAAGCGGCCCATTTCATATAATGAATAGAACTTACTAAGTTTGGACTGACAGGTTTACGATAGTAGACAGACCGTGGAATACTACGGAGTACAGGCGAGTGATATTAGATAATCATTCTATGTAATTTATTTATGTAACTCAACCAATCTTTCAAACAGCGCTGCCAGCTCATAAGTGTAGTGGTTATAACTATCCGTAAATACATATCCCATTGTAACGCCAGTCAAGTCATGAAGCAACATGTATGAAATGTTTAATTAGTCCATCATGGACTTGCCAATCTCACTCTGCCAGTTCTCAGCTCGCTCGAAACCATTAGAGTGGGTTTGGTAGTCGAAAAGAGCTTTGGCGACGTCCTCTTTGGAAGTGAGGACAAAAGGACCGTATTGGATAACAGGCTGATCGAGAGGGATACCAGCGATGAGGGCTTATCAAAATGTTAGCATGTATGGTTTCTCGGGGTAGGTGTATTACATACCTAGCCGAGCGGGTTTCGAAGCACCAGCGTCGACCTCGAAATGAACAACGTCGCCCTGCGGCTCAAAGACAATATTATGGTACTGCTCGACAACACGTCGCTGGTCATCCTTGCCAACGATAACATCCCCCTCGAGGGTGTAGGCAAAGGCGTTCCAGTTTGCGGGGAGAGGTTGGGTGATCTTGCCACCAGGGCGGATCTCAATGTCGAGGAACCAAACAGGTGTGTAGGCGAGATCCTTGACAGAGTCGATGCCGTGGCTCTGGCCAGAAATGACCTTGACGGTGACCTTGTCATCGTCAACCTTGGCGATGGGGATCTCGGAGCCACGGAGGTCGCGGTACCGAGGTTCGCAAGCCTTCAACTCCTTGGGAAGGTCGACCCAAAGTTGAAGACCGACGTTTGCGCTGCCATCCTCGTTTTGTCGGGGCATCTCAGCATGCACAATGCCTGGGCGATGTTAGTACGATTCTGATATTAAGGACTACCTAGTGAGTGAGTGGTTCATACCTTTTCCAGCAGTCATAAATTGGAGGTCACCGGCGGAGAGAGTACCCCTGTTGCCAGCAAAATCCTCATGATCCATACCACCCTCAAGGAGATATGTGATAGTCTCCTGGCCACGATGAGGATGATCAGGGAAACCAGCACCAGGCTTGACGGAGAAGTGATCGAGCATGAGAAAGGGGGAAAAGTTACGGAGCTGGGGAGTGCCAATTGAGCGACGAACACGGGCACCAGCTCCTTCAGACTGCTCAACAGCCAGGAATACCTTGCGAACAGCTCGAGTGGCAGACATTTCTGTGGCGTAAAGGTGTTGTTGGTGCTCAGTGTTGGGTTTGTCGAAAGTAGTCAAAGAGGTGAGGGTCCCTAGGAATTCAAAGGCTGAAGCTGCTGTGTCCTTGATACGGTGTTGGAACAATGCAATAGCTGCTAGAGAAATGAAGACTGGTATGAAGATGGAACGAAAAAGGGTCATGACCAGGGAGGGCGGTTGAGAAAGGGGATTTATATACTAAGGTACGAGAGACAAGGTCGGATGAGAAGATGAATTTGCAAGCACGACAAATACAGGGTCCTACGAGTAGAAATAGATAGAATAAGCCGTGGATGGCATTGGATCGAATTGATCCGTGGTGGAGGTTAGAGATGTTTAGTCACTGTTACATCAGCAGCTAAATCGTGGTGGTTTGCTTTGGAGCCCATGGACCTAGCCTAGCCTACCAAGGTTGGAATGGTCCCCAATATTTTTGGTTTGCTAAGGCTGACCAAGGCGATGAATGTCTAATCAGTGGAGATAATGACTACCTAACGTAAGATCGGATATCCGTATTTCCGATTACCGCCTACCCTAAACCTCGGTCCTGGCTTCTTAAACTTTTATCTGCAACCTTGATCGCTTCATGGAGGAAGTTCATTGGGACATGGAAACGATGCGCTCTTGCCGCTTGTGTATGGCTGTTTGCTTAAACAAGCCACGCCACACTTCCTGCTTTAGGGTTTCTTCTCTACCTAAGTAGATAGAGCACAGTCCAGTTATTGACGAACCTCTTCAAAACATCGCGCTAGTTCTGTATCGATCCTCCATATTTCAAAATGTCATCACGAATCATCGTTCAAGGTCCGTGGTACGATAATGGCAGGCTACTCAAAGACCCGAAACCTCGTCAGGAGTGGGACGAAGTCACAGAGTGGGAGGAGGCGAATCTCTGCAACAAGATAACCATTTTCGACTTGCCCCTCAAATGCCCCTTTCCTCTCACCAACAGACGAAATGCTTGCGCCCTGATCGAAAACTTCATTGATGCCATCACATACCACAGGCAACTATTCCCCTACTGGCAGAGGCGCGCTATCAAGTACTTTATCTGGCGTGAAATGTTCGTCATCAGGAACAACGACGAGTGGAAAGATTACAGGAACCATCCCCTATATAAGAATCGTGACGTGCTCAGGCGATTGGCGAAGCAGGAATTCACTAATGCAATGGGGCTTGCATCTGCTTTGTTGTTTGTCCTCCACGGACTCTACACCAACGACTGGGAACTCGAGTTCCTCTTGAAGGGGCAGCAGAAACTCATCGATACATACAACATGTGCGACTACAACATGAGGCTGTGGAACAGGGACAAAATGCTCGACATCTTGTTCATCGAGTGCGAATGGCTCAAAGACACGCTCCTCGAAGCGCACATGAAGGAGAAGAAGGAGATGGATGAAGAGTGGGAGCACAGACAAACAAAGACACTCGAAGAAATGGAGGTTTTTATCGAGGAGTTACCAGAGCCTATGGATGAAGACGAGGAGGAAGACGAGGAGGAAGACGAGGAGGAAGACGAGGAGGCAGATGAGGAGGAAGACGAGGATGGGAATGAGGATGATGAAAATGCTCAAGACAACGCTCAAGACAACGCGCAAGACAACGGTCAAGACAACGGTCAAGACAACGCTCTAAACATTGCTCTAAACAACGCTCAAAACAACGCTCAATGCATCGATATATGGGGCAATGATATCCCGATGGCGATGATATTGGGCGTTCCACAACAATGGAGCAATGTTGTCCCGTTGGCCGCTCCAACCCCATTGGAGATTCAAACTATGGCCCTAGAACGCGAGAAATTGAGGCAAAGGCGGGAAAAGGATCTCCAGCAATGGGACGCTCAGTGCTACGCCCAGGGTCTCACTGAAAGTCTCGCTCAAAGCATAGCTCAAATTTGCGGATTTCCGTCAGAGGAAGCTCAGTTTGTCGCTCGGCCTCGTGCTCGTTATATCGCTCAACGTCGTATTCAGGATTTCTACAAAATGGAAGCTCTAAGTATTGTTCAAGAAAGACTTAAACAACGTAATCGACGTCAGGCTCTGATTTACGGTCAAATCCGAGCCCAACGTCGCGCTCAGGGTCGCACTCGGGGTCACATTCCAGGTCCCGAAGACGAGGCTCAAGTCATTGCTCAAAGCAACACTCAACGTATTGTTCAATATTTCGATCGGGACACCCTCCAAAATACCATTCGGAATCTCCCCCCGGGAAATACTGAAGATAGCGTTCTAGCTTTCATGAATGGCGTTTATAAAGAGCTTGTCCAAGGCATGGCACAAGACAAGGCTCAACGTCAACGCACCCAACGTCGCGCTCGTCGTCGTGCTCGTCGTCGCGCTCATCGCACCGTACAGAAGACCGTTCGAGAGACCACTCAAAATGTCACCAAGGAGAATGGTCAAAAAAGAACCCAGACTAGCCTCCAAGATTTCACTGCAACGGCGCCTCACCGCCAACGAACAGACTCGCAGGCTCCTGAAAAGCTAGTCAATACTGCTGTTCCGCCTATAGACCCAAGCCCTACTCTCCCATCGAGGCCAGTTGACGACGATGAGGATATCTATGGTTATAGTGGGGACGAGGATGGCAATACTAAAGAGAAATGGTGAAGTTGCCGTTCAGGTTTCTGCTCCGTGAGGCTGCCCGTCCTTGGAGTAACTGTTGCAAGGCAGTCTTGGTTATATGGCTGGTACAGAAGATTTGGAGCGCCCAAGCATTACGTTTGGCGCTGAAGCAAATATCAAGCAACGCACGGAGTTCACTTTTGAGAAGCTTATTGATGGAAAAGGAAGTGAATGTCGAGGAGAATGGTAAGGGAAATGCTGATGCAGGTGGAGAAATCGTGTATGAGTACAGTTACGTTAAGTTTGAGTTAGGGGTAAGACTGGCAAGAACAGTATTTAGAGGCATAACTACTGACCCTCATTATATCAGCCTTTAGCTATACAGAGTCCATGTGTAAGAACTAAAGCGGTTCCAACAGCACCGCGTTTCCAGTCCAACAAAAAAGCTGGAGGGTTGGTACGTCTTTAACTGTGTAACTTGAGAGACTTAGAGAGAGTTGACACGTATGACAAGTAGCTAAAGATCCTCGTTCCAAGTGTCTCCATCATCAATGTATCCCATATCGCGAAACAGGCGCAGTGTCTTCGACGCCTGGGGGTCGCAGAGCAATACATCGTGTTCTCTCAGATACTCAGTGATCTCCTGATACACCTTCTCAGATCCGGCTTTTGGGGTAGACAGTTCAATCTCCATAAGGTGAAGTTCCCCCGCTACTACATCATCCAGCTTCACTTTGTGTCCCAGTATTCTCAACTTCCACTTTCCATTTGGGAAAGGCCCGTAGGGTACAAGGCCATCCCAGTCAATATCGTCGTACTTTTCTGCAAAACGAACTTGGTCATCGCTCCAGATCTTTTGGGTCGTCTTGTTACTCAGGAGGTACCGCTGGCCGCAAGTGAATGGGACGTTGTCTCCGTATCGATCATAGACGCAATGGGCGCCAGGGGGAATGCGCTCTGGTTTCTCATCGAGGCGGACCTTGATGACAGAAAACGGGTTTCCTTTGTTTGTCTTTGTGCGGAACATGACGCCTTGTTGCGCATGAGATGGGGGCATGGTCTCGAAGTAGGTGATTGGATTGCGTTTGTAGGGCGGGCGAACTTCTTCTCCTAGTTTCTCGAGCACGGCTTCTCCGTCAAGATCACATAGTGACCACTGAAGATGTATTTCTTCATCAGTGGCTCGACTTAGAGACGAGGTCACAAACAGTGCAAAAGCAATGAGGCTGTAAAATTTCATATTGAGAGAAACAGATTCCAGTACAGTACCTGAAAGTAACCATACGACGTCGATCTACCGAAGAAAGATGGACGGACGGGAATTTAAAGAGGAAAAGTAGCCGCCGCAGCAGTTGTACCACTTGGTATAACCATCGAACTCACTGAATATGTGACGCACATCTTGGTGTCTGTGCACACCCTTTTGCTTTGCGACAGTACCAATTACCACGCATGGTGCAACAAATTCATCATTTTCGCATTTGATCTTGTTGAGGCCTGACGTTGATCGCCGATTGACATGTGTCGCAACCAATTGAGCTGAAGTAGTTGAGCAGCTGACATTTCGATCCGCATCGAGCCGTCCCTTAGCAGGCAGAGATATTGCTTCATGTCAGAACTAAAGTGAAACATTGGAAGATCCCCAAGAAAGGCGGCGCAATTACCGCCGCTTGGATTCACGGCGTTCAGCGATGTGATTCGCAGAGGGAGTCCTGAATGTGGGTTAACAAGCTGTTGTAAGACAACAGGTGACCATGATGGTGAAAGCAGTGTTGCTTTGTGAAATGTGAGCATTATCGTCATATCGACTTTTGACAGTATCCCCGATAATGTGGTAAGTAAGTTTCGAAACTAATCTGAAGATCCATGAATCTTCCGGCATCGGGAATTGGTGTACGAATATTTCGAGACTGGCATATGGCTTGCGCCGCGACGATGCAGGAAATCAAGCCCAGAAAAAGGGCTATGAACTATGATCATCGGAAACAAGCCGAATTTGAGGGTCTTGCATGTGGTCCAAGATAATCCGAAGAGCCCTTGTAAGTCAGATCAATCAAAGCAAGCGGATCTCCAGCGCATGAGCACAAGCATGAAGAGGAAGGGAACATGCAAGTTATGTAGGGCTGTCGACTAGCCCGAAATCAGATGCTAGGTGTAGATGAGGCCCACATTGACCGACGGAAGCTATCTTGCTGGGGCTGAGCTACCTCGATCACGATAGGTATAGTGAGTGATAACGAAAATGTAGAATTGTTTTCGACATGTGATATTGAGGGGACGAGTGGTCCTAGCCGTGGGGCTTCGTGAGTCGCTCACTAAAGATGCAGAGAAACGGCGTTTCAAACAGTATGCATCCTGTCATGATCACGATATGCTGAAATGACGCGGCGCAAATTTGGTGAAGCCTGAGACGAAGAATCCCACCGCAGAAGACGAAAAGAGTCGTGAAGAAAAAAGAAGAAGAAGAAGAAGAAAAAAAAAGGGGGAATCACGCAAAGTGTTAACGCTTGGCCGGTCATCCTGTGCGCCGACCAACAGTCAGTTGCGCAGAGGAACGTGTGGGCTAGAGAGAGGAATGCTGGCGTTGTTCACTGGTGATCACTTGAAGATCGTGAGATTTTGTATTACTGACATGCGTTGCCGAGCATGCGCAATACGCCGTTGAATATACTGCCGATCAGGGTTACACAAGTGCGTCCCGTCTGCTTGATTTGAGACTTCCAAGGGGGCACTCACGTCTAATCAATTGATGAATTCATCGCCCATCATTCTGTCATCACTCAGCATGTAATTCCTGACATGTGAAAGTGGCTGTAAGTGGGCCGTAGACGGCTTCAGTGAGAGAGGGTGCATGCCACGTAGCAGGGGACCCTTGGGGGTTTTGGGTGATCGGTCGATAAGGTAATAGAGCGATTCCGTGAACGTGATGAGGCTATGGAGCAGAGGTCGAAAAAGGAATCGAGTTCGTAGCCACGAGACGGAGCCGCTTTTCTGGAAGCGACATTTATTTTTTCTTCCCTTGAGATCCGAGGCCGGCAGTCGAGCTCGTGTTTGATATGAGGTTTAACCGCGGCAGCAGCTGGATTGCCTTTCGCCAAGTCGGCAGCAGAATGAGAGGTCTCTTATCAATGCGAATGCTTCACGTGGCGGCTACATCAAGAGTGATAAAAAGTGTCCTTCCTACATATACGCGGACTGCTACCCTGTCCTCGGGGAGCAAGAAAACACCGGACCTTAATATAGGGTGTGAAAATAAACTCAGCAAAGAGCCCCCTAAGCTTAGGCTAGATTTACCTAAATATTTTTATTGCTTAGGGTCAAGGGTCTGTGTTTTCTTTCCGGTAAATAGCTGACAAGCTAAGTGCGTGCCACATGGCTGAGACTGAACAAGGCGACGATTGGTTCCTAGCAAAGGGGAGAGGAGAAGTTGCTGATCCGGTCTGAGTGTTGTTGCTAGGTTGAACGGATAGCTAAGGCTTCATAATGCCCGAGATAAGCCATATGGAGTACGGGTTGTGCAGATGAGGATTGGCTGTGGACTGAGCGCTTGCAGACGCAATGCGAGGGAACACAGACTTGGAAAAGCGTCGTGTTGAAACGCATCATGACGAAGATTGAGTTGTATCTGGTCTTCTATTGCATTGCGTTGCATGGTATTGCACTCCACGGAATTGGCCATTGGCCATTGTCTCCGAGGAGAGGCAACGCTTCCACAAAATTCATGTGCCAACTGTCTGAGCCCGCGGAAGAAGTTGATAAGGCGGCTGCACTCCGTAGACAGTGGAGATATCAAAGTCTCCGAAGCAACAAGTCTCTTTTACTTGAATATCATTTCGTTCGGAATACCCAAAAGGAACATTTCTTGCTTTGTTGGCGCCAAGGATACGTGGCGTCGGTGTAGAATTGCAATAGCCGCACTCCTTGATCAGTGAGAGAGGGATTCTATAGCTCAAGCTCTTTTGTTGGGGAGATTTGAGTCGAATTGAATCTTGGTAGTGTTGGTTATGTTTGGAGTAAGGGAAACGTTATGGCTTGGAGAGTGGGGGGAGGGGCCACTTTCACATGTCACGGAGATCATTCCTGCCCTGCAGGGACATTTCCTTAGGTTAGGTACCTTACGCGAGCAGCAGGGGTACGTACCTAATTAATGAGCTCCTCCCGTCATCCCGGGGCGAGCCATCTGATCGAATGGCTGTTGAGGAAAGAGATGAAACGAGGAATGAACACCCAGAGACAGGGCATGCGGCTGAGTCGAACGATTGCCTATCTCTTGACTGTGATGGTGTCACAAAGGCCCAACAGCACCCCACCAATGCCTGCCTGTACTGACTGATACTGACGGTACCTAAATTGAAAAGCATGTGGCTTAAATGGCATTCGAACAACCTCAGTTTAAGACTCAGTAGAGGTGTAATGACGTTAATCTCGAGTCTCTTCCCTATCGAATATAAAAAAGGGGAGACTCACAAGAGACAAACTTGAATCAGCCACAAGATAATGAGTTAGCAGTAGAGGTACATGTCCAATGGAAGCTACCAAGTACGTCAAGTATCCACTCAGCCCAAAATAGCTCTAAAGATACCTTGTCTAGTACAAGCACATGTTTGCGCATTTGCACATGCAAATTGATTGCTCCCTAACACTCACTCACTCCTCCAAAATCCTCGCGATGGCAAAAAACAGCTGCACCTTGATATTTGCTGTATCGTAAAGGTGGGTTACTTTCCGGAAATTTTCTAGCCCCCTACCGGACAGCACTTACAGTACACCCAAAGCGCATTTATTAACCTAGATAGGCCCTTTCCTCTTCGTTTTCCCTTCTTCCTCCGAGTTCTTTTACACCAAAAACTGTAGGTACTGAGCTTCCATACTGTGGCGTCCCACCAACATCATCTCCCTCCTCTCCCTCCTCTGACCTCAGACGTAACGCACACCCAAACACACTCTCCTCTCCCCGTCTTCCTACTCCATCCTGCTCCCTTTTAGCCTCTGCAGGTCCCCTTCAATTGCGACCATCCCACTTTCCCCCCTTCTTCTTCTCTTCTGTCTATCTACCTATCCTACCTACATCATCACATCTCACCTGAAGCTCCTCTTAAAAAGAAAATTGCCGTTCCTGACTCGAATCCAAGCTTATCTATTACTCGTCATCGAACGTCATCACGATTTCGACAAGCAATTGACTTTATCTCGAACCTTGCGACTTCACCACTTGCACCGATTCTTTGCGAGCAACCCTAAAACATCTATCATGTCTCACCAAGTTAATGGCGACGTGAGCGCTGCTCAGTATTCTGCTTTCGTCCAGGTACTTGTTGAATAGCTCACCACTTTGCGACCCAAATTAACCTGTTTGCAGCATCTCCTCAACTACCCCGTCATTAGCGACAGCGTCCACACCTTCAAGTCCAACGAATTCGGCCAGCGCTCCATCAAGCTCACCGACGCTGCTTACCAGACCTTCGCCGCTCCCGTCGTCCCCTACTTCGCCAAGCCCTACCAATATGTCTCTCCCTATGTCCAGAAGGTCGACTCCCTAGGCGACAAGACCCTCGACCGTATCGATGAGAAGTTCCCTGTCGTCAAGAAGCCCACCGATGAACTCTACCAAGATACCCGCGCTCTCATCCTCTTCCCAATTCAGAAGGGTCTTGAGGGTAAGGACCACGTCTTCCAGGTCTACAACTCTGAGATCAAGAAGGTCGAGCAAGGAGGCCTCGTCGCACACGGAAAAGCTGCCGTTACCACCGTCCTCGTCGTTAGCAACGAGACACTCTCTTGGTTGAGCTCTTTCCTGCACCAGAAGAAGGCAGAGACCACCACTGCCGTCAACGAGAAGATTAACCAGTAAACGTCTCACTCAATGACCATGGCACCACGAGCGTGATGTGATGACTGTCCTCAGCTGAACCATACCTATACCCCTCCCTGTTTTCCTTTTTACTCGGAATTGTTTCTTGAAACCATGGCATTGCCCGCTGTACTTCTTTTCGTCTACCGATTCTTGGAGTTCTGAATGATATGGGGGCATACACCGTTACAAATCAGCTCGTAACTCTTGGAATTGTCTGATGCGCCTCTTTCATCGCGCTGCAAACATGATTTCAATGGTTGTTTCAGCCCTGAGAAATAAGGGTGTTGCACTGTCATGTCTCATCGGCGCAATTCGGGTTGTCTGCGTCCCCTTTCTCTGGTTTCTCTCTTTCCGCCTGAGGATTATTAGCCGATGATGGGGCGGCTAGCGAAAGGTGCTGGTGACATGACGATCAGAGGACTGTGTATCCTCGAGATGTGTACGTGAGGGATAGCCCGCGGCGGGGGGTTCAAATCGTTAAAACGATGTGAACTTCGAAAGACTTAAAACGACTTAATAGATTTTTTTGTATTCCCAAGTGAAAATTGAGTGTGATTCTGGAACCTATCTTTCCTGCGCGTGTGAGTGATAAACGAAATTTGTGTGCAATTGAAGGTACAAACATGAAGGGCTGAAACGAAAGAACTTGTCAGCTTTCCATACCATGATCATGCCGCTGTGGTTGTTCTTAATTCCCTTTCAGTCGAGATGGTACGTTATAGCGCCTAAGCCCATGATCGCCTGAAGATTTACGTAGTACATAATCTGGTGATGTCAAGGAAAGTCTATCGACTTGTGTCAGACTGTCTGAGGAAGTATATAGCCACGGTAGGATCATCAAACAAACATTCACTAAGTTAAGAGTCTCGACAAGTGTGCTGAAGGTATAATGTAACCGGGATCGATTAGCACAGCGGTTAAGCTGGCTCTTCTTCCACAATCACCCCACGGGGCGGATTTCGCCATCTGTATATCAACAGTGGCTCTATATGATAGACTGAGCCATGAATTTGGATCATATGGCACCGGACGGCTCATACAAGAGCAAGAAAACGGGGTACAGAATCTGGATCGAGAGTGGCAGTTCTTGATTTACCATGCACCGCTTTACTATCGCCATAGCCAGATATCCACGAGGCTCAAAGGCATCTTGGACAGAAGTATAGCAACTGCATGACACCAGGAGATATAGCTACGTCAAGCCCTCGGATACTAGGAGCAACGAAGGTTGATAATGGCTTCGTTGTAGGTATCGGGACCCTGGCACCCAATATATACCATCTTGCCATTGAGGCTGATTTCGGCATCGAGCTTTTCGGGCCAGATACCGGGACTCATAGCAAGATATCAATTAGGAACAGAACGTTCGGTTCTACTTGGACCCTTTGGACCTCTTGGACGAAGCATTGTCCCTCCCACTGAGAGATCAGCTCTTGAGCCAATTCATTGAGCAGACTGACTTATACGATTCCCTAGTACCAGACAAATCTAGATAGACCAAAGCGACTGAACATACGGTTTGATCATATTTCTTTATCTTCTAAGTACTAAACTTTCGATATCGTCAACGACCCCTGAATTGTGCGAGCCCCTGAACATATAATATGCTGTGGACAACGGATCTTCTAATGGGAGCCTAGTAGGTGACGGAAGAGATTGGACCGCAGTTCTGCACAGAAGAGAAGGATTGCGAAATATAATTATTCAAGATGAACTCAACAAGTAACAAATGGTATATTCAAACACTAGTACAGATTATCAAATTTCAAGAGCCTTGGAGGAACGGCCGCTGAGCTCCAGGAAGACATGTACGTCCAACCCATCAATCAGTGACTTCTCCCATCACCTGAAGGGGAAACAACAGTCTCCTGAGGTCCCTTAGGAGCAAGGTTGCCGTCGCCTGAGTCACTGCCATCAACGATACCAGCGCTGAGAGCGCCGGCACTGGTTGGGTCGATAGATGCAGAAAATCCATACCATGCCACGACGGCTACACCCAGGATACCACAGATACAGCTGAAGACAAGAGCGACGATACCGCGAGGAGTGAATCTTCAAGGAGTGTCAGTGCATCAGGCTGATAAAACAATGGGAGTAGAGGGACTTACCCAGCAGGCAGAGCCTTGGCAGGTTTATTCTCGCCAGTAAGATCAAGGAAGTTCTCGGTATTAGCAGCCGCATTTCCCTTGGTAGGCATATCAGCAGCGGCGCAGGCATCCAGGTGGTTCTTAGGGATCTGGATGGTCTCTTGAAGAGTAAGAGGGTCTTCGACGAAGGTGGCAATAAGCCCAGACACCACGTGCCATTCAATATGGCAATGGAACAGCCAGACACCTGAAAAAGAGTCAATCATGCGAATTCCTTACTAAGTCGAGTTTTGGGGCATACCTGGGTTGTCAGCCTTGAAACGCATAACAATGTTGCCGTTGGGATAGATGACAAGAGTATCACGTCGCATAGGAGTTTTGGGCAAATCAGCTTCAGTAACATTGGCATCGGCCCAGATACCAGCCTCCTCTTCGGAACGGTAGATAGATTGGAATGCGTGTCCGTGAAGATGGAAAGGGTGACGACCAGAATCGAGATTGTTGACGACAATTTGTACAATCTCGTTCTTCTTAAGGACCATGGAGTGTGTGTAAGTGCCATAAACACTTGGATCCTCGGCGTCCTTGCCTGCACTGAGGGCGGTATATAGGGTGGGAACCTTGGCTTCGACGTAGGTAATGTTGTTGAACCAGGCGTAGTTGGCCCCATCCTTGAGGTTTTCCATCTTAACATCAAGAGTGAACTCCTGGTCAGGCTTTCCAAGAATGCCCATCTTGTCGTATGGAACAAGCTTCATGTCATCATGAGGTTCCAAAGCCTCAACAGTAGCGGCGTCTGGCTTGTCGGCCTTTTCATCATAGACGAGCCAGCCGGTGGCGTTGTAGTTCAGATCCGGAGGCAGGACATCAAAAAGAGTCTATATGAGACTGTTAGCTTTTGCTTCAGCATCATTATTAGGCTAGCGGCACTCACAGTATCCATGCTGGAGACAATTGGGAAGTTCTTGGAAGTGTCCTTTTTGGTAGTGAGCAAAAAGCTGACACGCTGAGCAGCCGAGATGTAGATCATCTCTGCCTCAGCCTCTTCGGTATAAATACCATCGACCTCGACAATGCGCATCTTATGACCCTCAAACCAGAGATACTGGCCAGCAAAGGCACCTATGTTGATAGTGCGGAACAGATAGGTTGTTTCGGGCTTGACAGACATTGTGAAGTTGGTGGTTTCGTTCATCAGGGCATTGTTGGGCACGGGCTCTGCACCTGAGGGATTGGCCTTGCTCATGAACTTTGGAATCATGGATCGCATCTCGTCATGATACCAATCAGAAAGAGTAAATATAACCTCTTCATCGTACTTATCCTTGTAGGGGAAATCTTTGTCGTGAACGATGAAGGGAGCCCGTAGACCGTCAGGGTATTGAGCAGCAGTGTGACTGTGGTACCAATAGGTGCCTGGTTGCTCGACCTGTGGCGGATATGTTGGGGGGGGGGGGGGATCTTGAGCATCCTTACAGTGAAGTTATATGTGAAGCTGGTTCCAGGAACGATTGGACATTGACTGACACCGGCAGGGCCATCCATATGGGTAGTGCCGTTCATGTAGAGACCATGAAAATGCAGAGAAGTTGATTGATTGCCCAGGTTGTTGTGAGCATTGATGATGACCCGATCACCAATGTCAACCTCGATTGTAGGGATTGGCCACTTGCCATTAATGCCAATGACTGGGCGTTCGAAAGCATTGTCTGGATTAGCTCTGACCCAGCCAATATCAAAATCGAACTTTCTGGTAGCTGCAGAAGCGAGATGAGGAAGGGCGAGAAGCAATGCTGCCTCAAATGATAAAGAGTTGAAAAGCATTCTGAGGTTATGAGGGCCCGAGTCGTCCCAGCCTCAGCAGCTTGAATTATACAAGATAGGTACCACGGTGAGGATGAGAGACAAGATGAAGGAGGGGAGGTGAGGTATAGGCCCAAGCAGAGAGGTATAAGAGCTTGGGAGCCTGTAAGACACTGGTGGGAAGCAGATGTCAAGAGGTAAAAAAAGAAAAAAAAAAAAAACTGGGATAGAACAGATTGAATAGATTAGATGGATAAAACCGGAAATAGATTGTGAGTATAAGATGGGGGTTGGTGGGATGATCAATCTAACGTTACGATATGGACATGGGGAAAAGAAGATGCATGCACGCACAGTTCTTGGTCAGAGTTTCTTTCGGTAGCACCAACACCAGAAAAGTAGGTACCTAGAGAGTAAGTAAAAGGTGATACCGAGAGCCGAAGCAAAGTCAAGAATTGCCTAAAGATGATCCAGCTACTGAAATGTTTAGTTTAGTCTACCTTGGTACCTTAGGTACCTAGGTAAGGTAGGTAGGTAAACAACCCTTGCTGTTCCATCCATGCCCACATACGATGGACATAATTCGGGAAGAACGTCCGACTAGCGAGTCAATTCTGCGGCGCCAAACGTGGTTGACACACAGAAATGAAGCTGTCGCATGATGATGGATAAAAAATGCTGGAATGAGCTGATCAGGGTCAAGGCTCTTGGGCTGAACCGCAACTGCGGAATCGGCGCGCGTGTGCGTGCAAGAAGCGGGCTAGACAGCGAGAGCGTGAATGTGATCGTTCTAGACGAGCAGGGATCGGCCTACTCTGACCGTACGGATGGATAAGATGAGCAGCTGTTGATCCATCGTGGCTTGACAAGGCTTGAAACCATCGAGAAATACCGTCCAAGTGCGAGGTTGAAGGGTTCAGGTGGAGGAGTCATTAACGGTAGAAGGCTAGTGGAGACACAGTCGATTTTGCACCTTTCTCCTTTCGGTTAGTGGAATGCTAAATGATGGCTCCACTCTGAGCTTCATCTTATCAATCGCAACCTCTTCCTCGTGTTTCTCTCTCTCATTCAATGCCGCTAAAGCTCCTTGACACATGATTTGCTTCGAAAGAGACCAAAGAATTGAGTTCCCAAGGGGTACATGTTGTATGTACCGCATTTTTTCGGCACAGACACTCCCGATCCTGAAAGCTCATTCAAGGGTCCACGATCTTCTCTTCTCTCCCTGCAGAGTGTCTAGTGTATGTAGCATAGACCCTGCCCAGCCTTCCTTACCTAGCCTGCCTATCTTATGCCAAGCCGGGTCACCCACAGCTATCACAGGCGCTGCAGCCTCTTGGCGATCGTTTCTACCCTCCAAATACCGAGGATTCTTGGCTATGTCCGGCCAGTTTCAATCAGAAGCAAAATACATTGCTCAACTGAACGCTTCTAATCACGTATCTCGGTGTCAAGAAATAACAAGACCCTGCAACAAAGAGGATCCATCCGGCGACATACCAGAGCCGAAAACAGCAGCCACATGGTCTCGATTTGACTTGGACGATCATGAGTGGGCCCTCCAACGGTCGAGAAGCCATTCCATGATACCAGCAACCAAAGAGTGGTCTGACAACCGACAAGCCTTTCCAATAAAGCCTCAGTTCAGCATCACAAGCGAACCCGAGATCTTGACGAGCCATGCGATCCAACTTAGAATTTTCAGCCGCGGCGTTCTCTGATCCTTGACGTTATCTCGTTTAGCTTGCCTTTGTCCCCTGTCCGTGGTTGCTTCGGATCAGATAATGATTATCTCCTGATCTTTTTGATATGATAACTTTGATCTTGAATCAGAAGGTCATAACACCCTCGACCCTCAGCCGCTTGCCTTGATGCAGCTGCATGGGTGCGGCTGAACTGTCACTACCATCCATCTCGACGGAACATCGCCGCTTCGGAGGGAATGCAGTTGAGATTCCAAATTTGCCTCGTCTGAAGTCCAGGGCTTGGTTGGACATCATACTTTCTAGAATACGGTGACCACAGCTTGTCCGAAAACTACCACAGCTATCCATGTCAAGTCGACACAAGCACAAGCATATCGGCATTTGACTCTTGACTGGGATCCGAGGTCACATTGTGGGGTGCTATGAGACACAGAGCTATCCTAAGCTTCCACCAATGTAGCTTCATCAACGAGTCTTCTTCCATTCTTGTCTTGGAGCCGATTTGGGCCTGACTTTCGAGCTGTCCGGTTCAGCCTGAAGAAGTGCGCGCAGAATAAGGGCCTCGAAGTCTCTTCAAGTTAAGCGTTAAGCATCAAAATAAGAAACAGCCCAATTGCGGAAATCTAGGACATTCACACACTTAATCTGCAGTCACAGAATTATCTGATTGATTGATTAAGGCCGCACCATGAGGAAGCATCCCACGTTACGGCAATTCCTTGCCGAGCGTCGACGAGCTAACTTAGTAGCAGCAAGCCACCAACCATCCAACAACCCTACCAAAGTCCGATCATGGGCTGTTTTCTGACCATTGCGCCGGTACTCGGTAGCTCGCGTTTCATTCTCGACCAGGTTCTCATGCCCGATGTTTTTTGCATTCCGCGCTTTACTCCGCTGATCCTTGCGGCATCTCAAAAGTGCAACTCGTCTAAGTATACGCTTAGACTAGCCAACAAGCTTAGTTTACAAGGTTGTTATGCGGATACTAAATCAGATTGTGTGTCTTCTGATCCCTTGCTTGAGCTTTTCTTCTCGTAAGAACAAAAAAAGTTATCTGATCGGCAGCCTGTGATGACTGGATCGCTCACAAGCTGCTCCAATCCCAAAACGAACCAAGTGTAACATCAAATTCAATATCTCCATTACCACACCCTCTTCTTGACAGTCCCGTACTTCTCACTTGACTGTGTCACCTTATACTTGAGCTCAAGACAGCTCCTCTCTTATCTTGAGCCCACCACAGCTCTCTCAAGTGACTCAACTGCACAATACTATCAACTGTCAACATGGCCGTAGACGTCTTTGCGGTTCCCGTCTTCCTTGTTGTCTTCCGAGAGACTCTCGAGACAGTCATCATCGTTTCTGTCTTGCTTGCTTTCCTCAAGCAAACCCTTGACGGCCCCAACGGTGACATCAAAGTCTACAAACAGCTGAGACGTCAGGTAAATCAACAGAGATATCTCTTGCGTCTGCCTTGAATACTGACTATAGTGGCAGGTCTGGCTTGGAACGGGTATCGGGTTCTTCATCTGCTTGGTTGTCGCTGCTGCTGTTATTGGTGTCTTCTACACCGTTGGCAGGAACTCATGGGAGAAGAACGAGTACTACTATGAAGGTGCATTCTGTCTCTTTGCATCCCTAATCATCTCCGTCATGGGCGCAGCTCTGCTCCGTATCGGAAAGATGCAAGCAAAGTGGCGAGTCAAGCTGGCCAAGGCTCTCGAATCGCCCATCAAAGCGGGTTCCAAGGGATGGTTCAAGCAGTTTGTCGAGAAGTACGCTATGTTCGTCTTGCCTTTTGTCACCGTCCTTCGAGAGGGCATCGAGGCTGTCGTCTTTGTCGCTGGTGTGTCCTTTTCTGCTTCAGCCAAGTCCATTCCTCTCCCAACCTTTGTCGGCCTCTTTGCCGGTTGCTGTGTTGGCTACCTTCTTTACAAGTAAGTGATATATATGCTAGTGCGATGACCTTCAGCGACTAACTAGAAGCAGGGGTGGCGCGAGCACCAAACTTCAGCTCTTCCTCGTTCTCTCGACTTGCCTCTTGTACCTCGTGGGTGCTGGTCTCTTTTCTCGCTCTGTCTGGAGTTTCGAGATGGCCAGGTGGAACGAGTACATTGGTGGTGAAGCCGATGAGTTTGGGAACGGACCTGGTTCCTATGATATTGACCAGAGTGTCTGGCACGTCAACGTATGTCTTCATCTAACAAGCTTACCTCGATATCCTAACAACTCTTTAGTGCTGTGCCTCCACCGAAGCTATTCAGAACGGCTGGGGTATCTTCAATGCCATTCTTGGCTGGACAAACTCCGCTACTTATGGCTCTGTCATCTCCTATAACCTATACTGGATTTGCGTCATGGTTGGTTTCATCATCATGCGCTTCAAGGAGACGCATGGCAGACTGCCTTTCGGAAAGGCGAAGGCCCCTGCCAACGCTGTTGATGATGCTGAGAGCCGCGCAAGCTCAACTCCCAAGAACACTGCAACAGAGAAGACGACCACCGCTTAAGGGAACATTTTCGAATAGGGTTGAGGACTCATCTGCTGATGGCTCATTGTATAATTCCTTTGGCTTTCTAATGACTCCATGAGTCTAGCTTGGTCTATATCCAATTACACACAACAAGCAAGTCTTGTTCTATCTTATCAATTTTCAGGAGTCCAATCCCATTCATCTGCCATGAACATAGCCTTTGCCATTTTGTCTACATAAAGCGCTCCTTCGTAACGTAACCTTTGATCGTTAGCAATCGCACGTGTGAAGTGAAACTTTTTGGGTTGATAGTCTTTGTCCCCGACAGTGTGTTCTCTCAGAGCTAGCCACGAGATTTCGGTCGGCCTCTTTTTCCAGTCGGCATAGGGTATCGCAATGACACCAGCTGAGAGCATCGACCGCATATAACTCAGGATTGGTTCCAATCGAACTCGTAGCCCGCAGTTTGTATGATGTTTATCAATTTGATAACTCGGGCACTGTTGAAGCGTTGAAAGAAGCTCCTCAATCTCGATCATCGCAGTGTCAGGGACCATGTTCAACGACGCTGGACTGTAGTCAACGAGGAAGAGCAAATTCTTGTTCACCAGGAATTTGAGCATTTGACCGAGCTGGTAAGAGTCACATGCAGCACTCGAGTCATACCCGAGTTTACACTGCCTCTCTCGAGATGAGAACAACGCGAGGAAATGCCGTTGGACAGAGGAGACGGTGTTGATGATACACTCACGCCTCTGTCGGAGCTCCTCTGGACAAGAATTAGCATTGTATTTGCACCTCGAGCCTTGGATTCTTACTTACCCTCTAAGCCATCAGGTAG